CAGGGAGACAGTCCACAGACTGGGAAAAAATATTTGCCAACTGTATATTCGACAAAGCCCTAAGATCTAGGATCTGCAGAGAACCTAAACATGCCGAAAGAAGCAAACAGCCCCATTTCAAAGTGGGCAAAAGATATGAATAGATACTTCTCAAAAGAAGACATGCGAGCAGCCAAGAGATACATGAAAAAATGCTCAGCTTCACTAGTCATCAAAGTAATGCAAATTGAATCCAAGCTGAGATTCCACCTAACTCCAGTCAGGATGACCATCATCAATAATCAAAAAACAACAGGTTCTGGAGAGGATGTGGCAAAAAGGGAACACTTTTACATTGTTGGTGGGAGTGTAAACTAGTACAGCTCTGTGGAAAACAGTGTGGCGATTCCTAAAAGATCTAAAAATTGACTTTCCATATGACTCCCCCATCCCCCTACTAGGAACATACCCAGAGGAACTCAAATAATTCTGCAAACAAGATACCTGCACACACATGTTTATTGCATCACTATTCACAATAGCAAAAACATGGAACCGACCATGCTACTCATTGAAAGAGGACTAGTTATAAAAAATGTGGTACATATACACAATTGAAAGTGTGGTACATATACACAGCCATAAAGAAGGACAAAATTATTAACCCACAGCAACGTGGATGGACTTAGAATCTATAATACCGAGTGATCTATCACAGAAACAAAGAACTAAGTATCACATGTTCTCACTCATAAGTGGACTTTGAACAATTGTCGTAATATTATAGGAAGAGATTGGCAGCAGTGAGAAATTGCTGGGGAGGAGTGGCACACTTCATCAATAAGGGTACCTGCATAATGAACATTTGTATACCTAAGCCTGATTTGTGCTCCACATCTTTAAAATAAAAAAATTTTTTAAAAAGGTAATTGTGTTGTTATATACTTGCAATGAACAATCCAGACATGAAATTAAGAAAGCAATTCCATTTGCAACTGCATCAAAAAGAATAAATTAATTAGGAATTGAACAAAAGAAGTACAAAACTTATATTTGCAAAATTACACAACACTGTTGAAAGAAATTTAAAAAGATCTATATACATGGAAAGACATTCCAAGACCATGATTGAGAAGACTATATTGTGAAGATGACATATTCTCAAAATTGGTGACAGATTCAACACCCCTTACAAAATCCCAGTTGACTTATTTGCAGAAATTGATAAGCTGATCCTAAAATTACCCTAACAATTTAAGAGAACCAGAATAACCAAAACGATCTTGAAAAAGAAGAACAAAGTTGGAGGGTTAACGCTTCTAGATTTCAAAACGTACCACTAAGCTGCAATAATCAAGAAAATATGGTATTGGCATAAGTATAAACATATAGGACAATGAAATAGAATTGAAAAATCCAGAAATATACAATCAATTCACTGTTAATTGATTTTTAATAACAGTGCCAAAAAATTCAATCGGGGGAAACAATAGTCTTTTCAACAAACTGTGCTGAAACAACTAGATCTTGAGATGCAAAAGAATTTGGACCTCTACCACAAAATGAACTCACTGCTAAAATGAACTCAAAATAGATCAAATACTTAAATATAACAGCTAAAACTATAAGACTCTTAGAAGAAAACACTGTGGTAAAGCTTTATGACTTTGGATTTGGCAATAGTTTCTTTAAGATGACAGCAAAAACACAAAGAACCAAAGGGGGGAAAAATAGATAAGTTTGACTTCACAAAATTTAAAAACCTTTGTGCTTCAAGGGCACAGTGAAGAGCATGAAAAGACAATTCAATGGGAGAACATTTTTGCAAAGCATATGTCTTTTTTTTTTTTTTTTTGGAGTCAGAGTCTCACTCTGTCACACAGACTGGAGTGCAGTGGCATGCTCATGGCCACTGCAGCCTCGTATTGCTGGGCTCAGGCAATCCTTCTGCTTCAACCTTCCAAGTAGCTGGAACTACAGGTGCACACCACCAAGCCCAGCTAATTTTCTGATTTATTGTAGAGAGGAGGTCTCGCCAAGTTGCCCAGGATTGTCTCGAACCCCTGGACTTGGGCAATCCTCTCATCTCAGTTTCCCAATGTGCTGGGATTACAGGGTTGAGCCACCATGCCTGGCCTCTTTTTTTTTTTTTTTGAGTTGGAGTCTCATTCTGTCACCCAGGCTGGAGTGCAATGGCACGCTCACAGTCTCCGCAGCCTCAACCTGCTGTGGACTCAGGCAGTCCTTCTGCTTCAGTCTTCCAAGTAGCAGGAACTACAGGTACGTGCCACCACACTCTGCTAGTTTTTTGATTTATTGTAAAGATGAGGTCTCGCTAAGTTGCCCAGGCTGGTCTTGAGTTCCTGGGCTCAAGCAATCCTCTCGCCTCTACCTCCGAAAGTGCTGGGATTATAGGCGTGAGCCACTATGCCCAACTGCAAATCATGTCTTATAAATGACCTTTATCTAGAATGTGCAGAACTCAGTAATAAAAAGATAACCTAATTATAATATGGGAAGGTATCTGAAAAAAAGATATACAAATGAACCATAAATATGTGAAAAAATGCTCAACATCACTGGTCATGAGAAAATGCAAAAACCACAATGTAATAACACTTCACACCCACTTGGATGGCTATAACTGAAAACAAAAACAAAAACAAAAACAAAACAACTGTTGGTGAAGATGTAGAGAAATTGTAGTCCATATTATGTACTACTGATGGAAATGTTAAAACTGCACAGCTAGTTTAGAAGACAGTCTGGCAGTTCCCCCAAAATTAAACTTGGGCCTACCATATGATCCAACAATTTCACTCCTAGGTGTATACCCAAGAGAGATGAAGACATATGATCACACAAAAATGGTACACAAATGTTCACAGCAGCATTATTCATATTATCCCCGAAGTGGAAATAACCAAAATGATCATCAACTGAAGAATGAATAAATAAAATGTTATATATTCATGTAATATTATTTGGCAATAAAAAGGAATGAAGTACCGATGCAGGCTACAAAATGAATGAACCTTGAAAACATGATGCTAACATAAAAGCCAGTCACAAAAGATTGCATGATTCTCTTGATAGGAAATATCCAGAATAGCAAATCCATAGAGACAAAAAGTAGCTTAGTATTTCAGGGGCTTGGGGGAAGAGTAAATGAGGTTTCTTTTTTGGGTTGTTAAGATGTGGTGATATTTGCATAACTGTGAACATATGACATTATAGTTCAATAAAACAGTTAAAAATAGAAAAGAAACAAACAATATCTCCAACTTTCCTATCTTCCTGGTAAATCAGACAAAGCCTTTCGTTTGGTTTTATAGTGACTTTTTCCTAATGCCCTACCTCCCAACCTCCCAAGTTTTATAGAATCAGAATCTTATCTTCAGATTATCATCGTTTAAAAATATTTTATCCCTCTAAATGGCACCCATTAGTCTATTCATGAATTGAACTTTTGGTGTTTCATGGAATGCATCTGTTTTCTCAGGTGTTAGTTTGAAACTCATGTACAGTAAGTTCTCATTTAACATAGTAGATAGGTTATCAGAAACTGCAAATTTAAGCGAAACAATATATAATGGAACCAATGTTACCACAGGTGAATTGATATAAACAAGAGTTGAGTTCCTAATGCATATTTCTGGTCACGAAAACATCACCAAACTTCCAAATAAAGAACCACCTCTATTAAACATGGAAATAAATGTGAGCTACACATACATTTAAGAAAGATTAATACAAACAAGTAAGATAATTATTCACCCAATTTTTGGTGAATCAGTGAGTGGCAGTGGTCATAATGGCAGTGGGTTAAATCAAGGAATAAATATTTGCCAAGCGAATTTTGAGAAGCACCTCCTACCATCATGCAGGTCAAACACCAACATCACAAATGTGGCGGCTTGCTGAGTGCTTTCCTAGTGTATCATATATTGTCCATGCATTTGTATGATTATTGTATACCCTACAAATTTTATTCAACAATAATTTGCATCATTCATTCATTCATTTTCCGACTTGGTGTTCCAGTTCAGGGTCATGGGTAGCTGAAGCCTCTCCCTACAGCTTAGGGCACAAGGCTGGAACCTGCCCTGGACAGGATGCCATCTCATCACAGGGTACACTCACACCCACCATCCACTCACACTGGGATGAGGTAGCCACACCAGTGAACCTCATGTGCATAGCTTTCAGATGTGGAAGGAAACCAAAGTACCAGGGAAAAACCCATGCAAACATAGAACATGCAAACTTCACACAGATGGCAGCCCTGGCCAGGAATTGATTTTTTTCTCATCGAAGTTGTAGTGGAACATTACTAGAGGCTGCTGGATGTTACCTCCTCTGCTTGAAATGCTGTCCCACTTGGCTAACTTTTACTTCTTTTCAATAATGCAGATGTCACCTCCCAAGCCACAGTTGGTGAACGCTCTTTGTGTTCCGCTGCACCCTGGGCTTACCTCTGTTATAACATCTCTTGTTTGTCTCCCTAATTAACTGTAAGGTCACTGAAGGCAGGAACATTATCTTTTAGTTATAAGCACCTTGCCCTGAAACTAGCAGCTCTGTGGATTAAGAAAGGCTGACTATACCTTGTGATAACCTACTAACTTGAACAGTAACAGACATTGATTCTCAGGTAAAATCTGTGGTGTGTATATATATGAGTGTGTGTGCACTGGAGTGGTAGTGATCGTGACATCTGTCACACTACTGTGGGTCACCTTTATGAACCAATAAGAAATATTTTGAGATATTGTCAGTATTTGCCACCATCTCATATGAGGCTCTTGGATTGAAGTTTGAAGAAGACACATTATAAAACTGTAATCCAAGAGTCTGACTGGCATTTTCCAGGGTGGTAATTGGTTCTGATTATCACAACTTTTTCTGAATTATAAAAGAAGGCACTTGGAAATTACTATAATATATATTGTATAATATTCCACTAACATCTCTTTTAAACTTCTGATTTTTTAAATATTTGGAATTTAAAAATTAAATACCCCTTCTTCATGGGCTCAAGCGTAACGTAAACTTTTCTCTTCAGAATTGTATATATAGTAGGCTTCTGTCCCAACGTAGCCATCTGTGTGCTGAGTGTTATAGAATTCTGTAAAAACAAAATACAATTTCTCTTTTCACTCTTTTTATAGCCAAAAATATTCTGAAATTATATCATGATATACTGAATTTTTATTTTAGGTAAGAGATTGTTTACATTGGTAAATGTACCATGTTTTCAAGATTCAGCTTTGTTTTTTCTACCTAACAGCCTCCTCCCCATTAGAACTCTGTGAAGTATAAATAAGTCATAATACAGTTTCCAACTTGTCAAAATCACCATGCACAATCAGAATCCTGAATGAGCAGAAATTATGGGAACCCTTAAATAAATAACTCTAGTTTTAATCTCAGTGAAATACATAGCGGAATTTCTAAAGTTAATCTGTTAGAAGTCTTTCCACATGAACCTGCCTTCAAAAGGACGTACTTTTTCAAAATTCTCTTAGAATTCAGCTAGATCTAAAATGATCCTTTTTTCTCATGAGATATAAGGAGAAGCTGAATTGAACTGAAATTATTACTGATATGGTATTTCTAGAATAGAGGCAACTGTTTCACTATGGGTAATTCCCAGAATTTAAAAAAAGCAGATAATGAGGGTCAGTCTAGAATTCCACATCTTACTTCTGCCTGATCCTCTTGTTTACTTTTTATTTTTTAGAAAGAAGGATTGAGAGGACAGAAAAGCTTCCAGAGCGGGAGGGTACCCTAGGAGATGACCCTGCTCTTGCTTAATTTTCCAGACATATGTCAACCACCCACAAAGGAGTTTTTTAGATCATTGCAAATGTCAGTAAAGGTATAGTCATGAGGGTTATGGGACTGTCTAATAGTAGAACCTAATCTGTTTTGAGGAGGAGAAAGAGTAGTCAGGGAAGGCCTCCATGAAGATTATACATCTCATGATTTTTTGGAAGAACTTTTTTTTCGACCTGCCGGGCTCCGGCGATCCTTCTGCCTCAGCCTTCCAAGTAGCTGGAACTACAGGCGCACGCTACCACGCCCGGCTAATTTTTGATTTATTGTAGAGATGAGGTCTCGCCCAGTTGCCCAGGCGGGTCTCGAACCCGCGGGCTCAGGCCATCCACTCATCTCAGCCTCCCAAAGGCGCGGGATTACAGGCTGAGCCACTGAGCCGGCTTCGTGATTTTTTAAATAGAGAAATGCAGGTTTGCCTAATAAATAATAGATGTTTTCATTTTGTTTCTGAAAATATTATTCACCATTCAGAATTTTAAATACAACTCCCTTTCGTATAACTGCAGAGGAAAAGAGTAAATAATGCATTCTCAATGTAGCAAAGAACAAGATAGAAAGAAAACATAATAAATAACACATACAAGAAGATTGCAGTAAAAAAGAACAAGAGTTAAGATAATTATTTAAACAAACTTAAAAACATATTATTTTCCATCAAGAAATTAATTCCTGATCATTAAAGATAATTTTGTAAATATGAGAAAATTACATCAAAATTATAAAAAAGACAAAAACAACATTTAGTATTTTTGTTGTTGTTGTTGTTGAGTTGGAGTCTCACTCTGTTGCCCAGACATGGCACACTCACAGCCACCCCAACCCACTGGGCTCCAGCGATCCTTCTGCCTCAGCCTTCCAGGTAGCCCGAACTACAGGCATGCGCTACCACTCCTGGCTAAGTTTTATTTATTGTAGAGACGAGGTCTCGCCATGTTTCTCGAACCCGTGGGCTCAGGCAATCCACTCACTTCCGCTTTCCCAAAGTGCTGGGATTATAGGCTAAGCCACCGAAACCAGCCCTACATTTAGTTTTGTTTTTTTTTTTAAGTTTACCAAGTATAGGATACTGTTACGTATTCATGTTATTACTCATTATCATTTAATGACTGCATCATATTCTACTGAGTGGATTATCATCATTTACTTGACACTACCCTATTGGTCATTTTGGTGTTTTTATTTTTTCACTACTGGCAAATATTATTGCCATGGATATCATCAGAAGTTAAGACTATTTCTTTTGATAATATTTTTGAAAGTATGATCACTAGGTCAAAAGCTATGAAAAAATGAAAAAGTCTTTCGTCTGGCATGGTGTCATACACCTCTAGTCCCAGCTACTCAGGAGACTGAGGCAGGAAGAGAATTTGAGCTCAGGAGTTTGAGGCTGCAGTGAGCTATGATCGCACCACTGTATTCCAGCCTGGAATCCCAAAGTGCTGGGATTACAGGCTGAGCCACCGAGCCTGGCCCAAAAACAACTTCTAAAAGGATTACATCAATTTATTTTGTCACTAATAATCTATGACAGAACCAGTTGCCAATCTTTGCATTATTATTTTAATAGTATTTTTCTAATTGTAGCATCAATATCTGGCCATACATGTTGTTAAATACAAAAAAATATAGCTGTGTTTATCTCACCCTACTTCCTGGCAGCATGTGACACACTGGACTAGTCTCCCCATCAGAAACACTCTTACTTGGTTGCCATGCGACACTTCCCTCCTCTACTACGGAAGGTCCCCAGGTTTGGCCTTAGACTCTCCTCTCTCCTCAGAGTATATTCTCTTTCTAGATGATCTCATTCACTTGTGGCTTCAAGTACCATCCCATTCATTTACAACTCTTCAAATTGTAAGACCAGATCCCAAATTTTAGATCTAGTCTACGTCTGAGGATCTAATTAGATTCTTAATGTTGATTTCTGGTTGTCTCAAAAGCGCTTCAAACCAATACACCCCAAACTACACTTCTGACTTGAGGCTTGCCTCCCAAACCTATATTTATAAATATCTGTTGAATGAATAATAAAAATAGTCTCACCACCCAGAGGAGAGTATCTCTCTCTCACAACACATCCGTAATAGGAACATTCTAAATAGAAGGAACAACAGTTACAAAGTCCTTGAGGTGGGAGAAGAATTATTATGCTTGAGGAACTGAAAGTTAATGGTCAGAGTGTAGTAGAAGAGGGAGACTAGTAAGCAGACAAGGTTAGAGAAAAGACAGGCAGAGGCCATATCACTCTAAGCATTGTGCACTTTGGAAAACAGTTTAGATTTTCTTCTTAGTACAACAGCCAAACATTTAAGAGATTTTTAAATAGAATTTTCAATTATTTTACTTCAAAATTATTTGGCTTTACGGGAAGTTTTTCCATTCCCTTTCCCCAACTTTTCCCAATAGCAATAGTTAACATAATCCTAGTGCACTGGAAAAGCTAAGACGTCTATACTGATGAAACATTATCAACTCAGAAAATCAAACAAAACATTATCAGCTCAGGTACAGACCTTAATCAGATTTTATCAGTTTTTACAGGCTCTCTTTATATATTTATTGGTATGTTTTGTATAGTTCTGTGAAACTTTATCACATGTGTAGATTCATATAATTCTCATCACAGCCAGAAACAGAACTGAATACATCACAAAGAAGAAATTCATATTACCACTTAAGATTTGTAACTAGCCGGGCTCGGTGGCTCAGCCTGTAATCCCGCGCCTTTGGGAGGCTGAGGTGAGTGGATTGCCTGAGCCCGCGGGTTCGAGACCCACCTGGGCAACGAGACCTCATCTCTACAATAAATCAAAAAATCAGCCGGGCGTGGTAGTGCGCGCCTGTAATTCTGGCTACTTGGAAGGCTGAGGCAGAAGGATCACCAGAGCCCAGCAGGCGAGGCTGCGGTGGCCGGGAGCGGCCACTGCACTCCAGTCTGGGTGACGGAGTGAGACTCCAACTCAAAAAAAAAATAAAAAAAGATTTGTAACTAACCGGGGTTGGTGGTTCAGCCTGTAATCCTGCGCCTGAAGTGAGTGGACTGCCTGAGCCCATGGGTTCGAGACCCACCTGGGCAACTTGGCGAGACCTCATCTCTACAATAAATCAAAATTAGCTGGGCGTGCTAGCGCACACCTGTAGTTCCAGTTACTCAGAAGGCTGAGGCGGAAGGATGGCCGGGGCCCAGCAGGTCGAGGCTGCGGTGACCGGGAGCGGCCACTGCACTCCAGTCTGGGCGACAGAGTGAGACTCCAACTCAAAAAAATAAAAAATAAAAAAAGATTTGTAACTGCCCATACTTCCTAACACCTAGAAATCACATATTTGTTTTCCATCACTGTAATTTGTCACCTCTAAAATGTTATATACATAGAATCATACAATGTAACACTTTGAAATAACTGTTTAACTCAGCATCCACCCAATTTGTTGGGTGTTATCAATAGTTAATGCTTTAAATATAAGGGCTAAACTGTAAGACTCTTAGAAGAAAACATGGAGAAAATCTCCATAACATTAGATTTGGCAGCAATTTCTTGGATAGGATACCAAAGGCAAAGGCAGCAAAAGGAAAAAGAGCCTTCCTCAAAATTAACCTTTGTGCATCAAAGGATACTACCAACAGAGTAAAAAGACAACCCACAAGATGGAAAAAAATATTTGTACATCACATATCTGATAAGAGATTAATATCCAGAATATATAGAAAACTCTTAAAACTGAGCAAACAACCCAACTAAATAATGGACTTGGGAGCTTGGGGATCTATCTACCCTGCCCACCACAGTCAGTGCCCATAAGTCATATGGTGGGACCTGAGGATATACCTGACCCACTTGCAGTCTCTCCCAGCAGTGCCTGTGCATTTATCTGGAAGCCTGGGAACGCACTCACCCTGCCTACTACTACTAGTATCCATACATATTGTCAGAATACCTAAAGATTGGCCTGACCAGTTCACTACCACCATTACCAGTGACCCAGCATACTATGCAGGGACTGGAGTAGACCCACCCCATCTGCCACAGTCAGTTCCTGTACATTTTATTCAAGAGCCTGGGGATTGATCCACCCCAGTTGCTACCACTGGTACTCACTTATGCCTTCCTGGGGCCTGGGAATTTTTCTTCTCTGCCACTGCTGCCACTCATTCATGCCTTTCAGGAGCCTGGGAACAAACCTGTCCTGACCATTGCTGCCACCCCATGTGCATCTGCTGAGGACTCAGGGACCTGGGACTGGCCTTCCAAGCCGCCTACCACTGTCATTGGTAACTAC